TGAAAGGTTGCATATGATTTTCAAAGGGAGACCACGAAATTCCTAGTGACCACTGCTGTAATGGGTCCGTGTGCTCACCATCATAAATCTGGTTTTTCCATGATTGGCCTCTATCTCGCTTGCTTTAGACCACATGGTTGTTATCGCGATCCGCAAGGCAATAAAAACTTCGAATTTTTACAAGATGGTTAGTATTGTTTTGCACGATGAACCAGATAACCGACATCAGTAGTTTCGGTAGAAGAAGCAATGCCCACAATTGCTAAGCATGCCTAAAATAAACGAGGCTCTGCCCATGGTGAGCGACAGTGCTCCCAACCGGGTGATGAATACTTCGAGAATTGTGCTCCAGCGCTGTTCTAAAACGCAATACAAGCTGTAAAAGCAACGAGTACAGAACAGAAGAACATGGGTCGGATTCTCACGGTGGCTGTGCGCGCGGAAAAAATGGCAAAGCTAGAGTCAAAAATTTATAAAAAAAAAGGTTCTGGATGCGACTTGAAGTCCGGCGAAGTGCTCAGAGAATAGCAAAAGAATAGAACTCGAATAAACAACGTGAACAGGGCATAATTTGAAATTGGCGAAACTATGATCAGAGATTCCGATTTTCCGCCCTGAATATTATATATGGCCAAAACCCAGCCACCCCTCCTCCCGCCCGTGTAGCGCAGGGATTGATGTGCGGAGCCAAGTCAAACTAACCAATACATAAGCAACTAAATATGTTGCTGTTGAATCTTTCACATTCTCATATGTTTTGAAAGGCTACGAATCACTTGTTAAAAAGGTCGTTTTTTTTTGGAAACCGTTCATCCTAAATTTAAGGATGTTGGCCTCAACCATTCCATTTCATTCTTTGCTTGGCCATAGTGTTCAGGGTGCATTCAAAGTCGGTCGAACAATCGTAACGATCGTAACGATCGCACAGCATCGCATGCGTATCGACCAACCAATCCTCGGACACGTCTGACGATCGGCTGTGTGGTCGTTACGATCGGACGACCGACTATGAATGCGCCCTCATGTATGTGAAAAGCGGAATGACATTGAAAAACGCAAGATAGAACAAAGCCTGAGTTTTTCTCTAGAAATGATTCACGATAAGAAGTTTGCGAATACAATTTGAATGATACAGAATAGACATATACGTAGAATGTGCCCTACGCGAC